ACACACAGACTCATGCAGTCTCTACGATAGGACCTAAGTTAATGGACACTGTTTTCCATTAATAAACCAGTGGATACAACAATAAAAGGCAGACAAATGAGCCAAACTGGTATTAGTTAACAATGAAATCAATATATTTTCTGGTCATATCTTCATGTTACCTTCCCATCTCCCCAGTAAACTAGAATAAGCAATGTTCATTTCTACTCTACTGCCAAAGAGCAGTCTAGGTCTACAGCCATTCAGTCTGTTAATTAAAGTAATGCACATTAATTTAGTCCACTTGTTAAGCTGAATGGTGGGTAAGCTCTTCAGTAAACAAATTAGTCTCAAAAGCTACCAGTTAGAAGAGCCTGGGTGGCTCAGACAATTGGGCATCTGACCTCAGCTCAGGTTATGATCTCATGGTTCATGAGTTCGAGCCCCACGTCGGGATCTGTGCAGACAACTCAGAGCCTGGACCCCACTTCAGATTCTGTGTCCCCCTCTCTCTCTCTCTGCCCCTTTCTGCTTGCACTCTGTCTCTCTCTCAAAAATAATAAACATTAAAAAAAATTTTTTTTAAAGCTACCAGTTAGTTACCTCCCACCATAAAGATTCACCAACTTTATCACCACTCTCAAACATAGTAAGCCTGCACAATCCCAATCCTCTCAAACATAGCTCCTGGTATAGACAGCACGAGTACAAAGAGAAAGCTTCGCAGGGAAGGGGAGAGTTGTTGGGGTTCTTGCACTTGTCTGTATGTCCTGCTGGTGGTAAGCAAATCCCAGACCTGTGTCTCATGGTAAGCTGGGAATGTCCTCAGGACCCTGCAGGGAAGAAGCCAGGCTAGATAGTAAAATATTCCTGAACCACAGCAATGGACTCTCCTGCCCCTTCAAATGCTGACTCTTGCTAGCCTTAATCTCATTTTCTGTTTTGGGTCTTTCGCCGTAGACCCAAATCCCTCATGATTTTTACATTTTCCTAGATCCTACGCCTGACTTCTCCCTATCTTGACTATGTTATCTATTGGCATCACCAAACTGGTAGAGTATAAAAGTGGCTTAAACTCACTGATCCTACCTTTTCTTTCTCCACAGTCATTCCAAAATGTTGGCCAGCTAAAGCAGCAAAAATACTTCGTGATTTCTCTCCCTGCCCGGGAGTCTCCCATTTTCTCCACAAAATTTTGCCAAAAGCTTCTTCTTACCATTCTTTTAGATATGCATGCCTGTCCTTGGGATCACCCTTTTGCTTTTGGTGAGCCACCCAAATTGTCACCATGTAACTATGCTTTTCTCTTACTCCCCATCTGACTTTTCTCGGTGCTCCTCTGTCAATGCAGTTTCATGTGGTCACGTCCACCTAGACATTTACACATATACATAAAACACAATTTTTCAAAGCCCTGTACAGCCCTATGTCAGAGACATGGGCTGGAGAAGACCACTTTCTATGAAAAACTTGGGATAGAAAAGATGGTCAGTGACAATTGATCTCTTGCCCTCCAACAGAACTGCAGTTAACCTACCATAGGAGGAAAAAAGAAAAAAAGATGTTTTTTTTTTCTTAATAAAAATATCTTCCAAGAAGAGTGTTTATACAACTTTCCTAAGTAGTGCATCTATTACTACAACATCCAGTTTTCTTCAAAGTTCACTGTACTTCCTTAAAGATAGAGGACATTAGGAAGGGTCTGAGTCATAGTTTATACATACTGTTCTAGGTCTCATTTTACCAAATGGTTTGAAGATGAGTGTTTCCTATGTTTGTCTTTTAAAGATTTAAAATCCTCCAAAATGTCAGTTTCCAATCTTCAAAAAAAAAAAATGATCCAATAATAAAAATTAAACTGTGATTAAACAAACATCAGTATAATTAAAGAAAATATTTATGGGCATGATTCTGAAGCTTGAATGTATGCTAGTAATGATGCAATGATTTATAACTAGTATTATTAAACTGTTACTACTTGTGGTACTTACCTTCAATCAGATGAAATTGTTTAACGAGATCTTTTATATCCAGAGAAGTATTCCCTGAAGGAATAAATGCAGGAAATTAGATACATCAAATTCCCAACTTAAAATGCCTTCCTTTTCAAAGCAACAAATATATAATCTCAAGGAATAACAAACCTTCTCTAAACACAATGAGTTCTTTAAAATAAACTGCTGCAAACTGGGTGATGTTTGGTGGGTTGGTTTTGAGAACGGCTCTGCTAAGTCCCTCGAGCAGAGTCTTGAGGCCATAAGGTACGACAAGTCTGGGCTTTGAAGAAATCATTTGGGCAGGATGTCTGTAATATCAACTATAATGAAGAAAAACAAGGTCTTATAAATAGTATATGATAGCTTTGACAACAAATCTGTCTCCTATAGAAATTATTACCTTTAGTTCTAATTTCTAGGCATTTATTCTAGCAAAGTGGGCTAATTCTTAATGGTAGTTAACACACAGGCGTGAGTGCGCGCGCGCACGCGCACACACACACACACACACACACACACACACAATAGCTCATTATGTGCAGATGAGCAATATAGTAGTACTATTAAACCCCCTGGGGAAAGCCCTGGTGAGAACTCTAGGATAATAGTAAAAACAAAGAACCAACCAAACAAAACTTGTTTCTGTAAAATTTAGTAAATATTTTGTGCAGAATTTCAAGAAAGATAAATTAAGCTCGTGTATCGGTGTCTAAACATACTTTGAAATTACATGGGCACTGGCTTTTTCTCTGTACCTTCATCAGATAGAATTGTAGAATAGAGTTTCTACAAGAAAACATCTTTTTCCTCATTTTTCTAAATGTATCCCTGGACACGTTGATCGTCTTTCAGTATACAATTTTTAGCCTTTGCTTTAACAATCAGAATAGGTATAATTTCCTTGTGGTATCACACCACCCACTACCCTATGCACGTCTCTCTTTTCTCCTATCCTCCCTTAACCTCTGCCCTAGTCTTCCCCTCTCTCCCCTTTCTGCCGCCTTTCTGATTTTAAGTGGTACCAAGGGTATCGCATAGTCCAACCTGTAATGCTCAAGAGTTGCAAAGATTGCCATCCTAAACCGTGTGTCAGTGTGTGTGTGTGTGTGTGTGTGTGTGTGTGTGTGTTCTGTTTCAGTGTACAAGATGATTTCAGGAGGTTTATAAATACATGTAAAGAACAGAACTATTTAAGGAAAGGAGTTCAATGGTAAGGGAAAAATCATGGTAGGAAAAATATGATGAAGCCACAGGTAAGGTTAGTATCCCCATGCAAGCCATACATCCTACACTTTGATGGCGATGGCATGTCAAATCAGCCCCTGAGCTACCAGGCAGCCATCACAAAATAGGAAAAAGTTGGTTAAATGGTTCATGTTTCTGAGATAAAAAATCAGTTGCCTGGGAGACTCAGAGGCATTCTGAACACGGAGTCCCAGGAGAAATTTCTCCCCCAGGTCCTCATAAAGAGGGGAATAGTGTGATATAATGAATCATGTCAACAACATCCCTACAGTCGAGTAACGGGTTTCATAGAGCTAAGTTGCAGGGTTTAGTTACAGGAATTATATAAGGAGCCAACCTCTAATAAAAAGTTGTGTGTCATAACAAAATGCTGAATATTTAAAAGCACGTTTCATCTTCCCAAAGGTCAGGGAAAAAAAAAAATGAATCTCTGTTGGTTAAAGCAAATCTTTTGAGGATATAATTAAGTGTACTGAATCCTTTAATGAAAATCTACTCTCAAAGTTTAAGTCAACTTGACCTTTACTGAATTAAACTATCTTTAAACAACCACTAGTGCGCAAAAAAAAAACAAACAAAAACAAAAAAAACAACCAAAACAACCCCACACCACTAGTGCAGCTTTGGCAGGCTACAAGCTAAACGTTAAGGGATGTAGGCAGTAATTGTATGCATGATCCACAGATACGCTATTTTTGTGTGCATGTGTATATAATTTTTTTTCAAGTACACATTTTGCACCCCAGTGTGAGTCGATAAGTCACGTTTGGAAAAGCGGCTTACCGGCAGCCATGATGGAGCTACCCAAACACCCTTTCTGTAGGCAGTTGGCAGTTGCTGCCACCAACCGTGGACAGAACGGCCGTACAGTGATCCTATTGGTTCTCCGCGCAGGCGGTATGCCGCGCCCCAACCACTCCACACTCTGGAAGTGTGCGAGGCCTTTCAGTGCCCCAAGACCTGGGATGCTGTACATCCTACAACACAGTCCCATGAGAAAAATTGTCCTGAGCAAGTTGAGAAATACTGCGACACCAAGCAGGACTACATCGACGGGTAGTCACACACACACACAATGAGAGCTTAAAACCGACCGCTTAATTCTACCCAAATCTCTCCTTTAGAGGTTACTTGTCCAAAACTTTTTACTACCCCGACCCCTGGTGCTGAACTGTGAGCTTGCGTTTTTACCCACTCCCCCAGGGCTAACGCCTGAGCGGGACAACGGTGCTGTAGGCTGAGAATGCGGGAGTGCGGGCTTCAGAGCCATAGGAAACGTCAACCATACACACCGCTCCCTCAAGACCTACGTTGGGGTCTGTGCTTGGTTTGCCGTTGGGTTTGGTGGGAAGGGCAGCGAAACGGAGAGCGGGCGTCCCGGTTCCGCGTCTAGTTCAGGAGGCGCAGGTGGCAGACCCACCGCCGGGACTCCCGGAGCTCCGCCACACCCACGGTTGTGAGCCTGCCCTTCCCCACGGGCCTCCCACTCCGGGGGCCCTCCGTCTTCCCCAGCACTGGAACAACCATCCACCGAGCCCACCGCGAGAGGCGCCCCGAGGGCGTGACCGCCTCCTGGGCCGCAGGGCGGGGGGGTCTTTTCTCCAGACTCCCCCACCTTTTCCTTTCCGCCTATGTCATAAAAAACCTTCCTCGTTGCCCCCTTGCCGGCGGCTCCTGAAGGAGTAGGGGCGCAGAGCTGGGTATTTATAGCCCTGTGGACGTCAGGGCGTGCGTCACAAAGCTCCTCCCTCCTGCTGGGAGCTCGCGGTCAGGAAAGGAGGCGGAGCCTCAGCATCCTCAGCCAATGGGGAGCCGCAAAGGACAAAGGCTCCAACTCCGCGGGCCAGACACGCAGGTGGGCTTTTCCTTTTCTAGAATACAAACTGCCGTTTCCAAACCGCCAGAAGTCGCTCAAGGCTACGGCCTTTCCACTTCATCGCTCATCATAAAATAAGAGCTGGTGTAGAAGGAAACAGATTTATGGCATTTCTTGCAGTCGCCGCCTCGCCTCTTCGCACTACCCCTTCCTCCACAATGTTACTCTTTTCAGCCAGCTTTTAGAAGAATAGTCTGTCACGGTAAACATAATGCTAAAATGTTGAAGAGAACGAATAATTTTATGCAACACAGTACTTTCCCTTTTGAGAAAATCACCTGTGGGAAGAGAATTTGGCAATAATCTTGAGGCTTCCACTTTCTGTAACTCGGATCTGGCAATACAGACACAACCCACCCTCCCCAAATCCTACTACCAGAAACCGGTTGCAATTCACACCAAAGTAAAGGCACATCGACTCGTTTCAAATACCTGCTCCCTGCTCTTTCATCCAAACTCACATACTTGAGCCGGGCATTAACTGCCGCCATAATCATGATGACCAAACTCCAAACGGGCTTCAACGTAATTCGTTTTCAAATATTTAAACAAGAATCATTGTAAATCAACCAAACAGTATCTTCAAGGCATAGATAGGATTAAAAAAAAAAAAAAAAAAAAAAAAAAAAAAAACACTTTAAAAAAAATTCAGAAAACAGTTAAGGCTTCCAGAGCTCTTAAGAGGCAATGCTTAGGGCACCAGTCTCCATCTATGCTGCACAGAGCACTTTCTACACATACTAAATCTTCCAAATAATAGTTACTGAGTGCTCATTATGTCACAGGCTCCCTCTTCTCCTGAAGATTGCATTTTGAAAGCAGAAATGCTAATTTTAGATTGTGATGATAGGTCTGCAGTTGGTACTTGTCCTTGGCCACTGCCCTGGGCCCCATTTTGGTGGATAAAAGTGAAATGAAGCTGTCATGATTTTTGGTGGTTTCATTCATAATATATTTAACTATCAAAGATAGAATGAAACCTTCTAAAACCCCCAAGTACAAACCCCATTTATGGCATCTTTGGGAATTATTTATGCTTCTGTAGCCAAACCTCGGCAGGCCACCTTGGACACACAGGTCTTAGGTACTGTGCAGAATATCTGCAATGCATGTCCTCTTTCCACATTTCATCAATGACTCTTTTGTCCAAGTCCCTGAGAGGCAAATTGTTACAGTGAAAACATTTAACCAAAAATTTTCAAACCACTATTCGCTGCTTTGATTTCTAGAACTCTTAATGATTTCAGGTGGTTTTATATTCTTCTTGTCCTTTCAGTCACTAGGGATCTAAATGCAAAATGATACTCTGCTTTGCTTTGCATTTCTCCTTGCTCCCCATCCTTACTTCATGGAAGTTCAAGGTTCTTGGCGTGACCTCTGCAAAATTCAAATGTTATTTCGTTCCCACCGGACTCGAAACTGGCCTGAACACACATACTGTTTGTCACCTCTGTGCCTTTGCTCATCAAGACCAAGGCCTGAGATGTTCTTCTAGCCATCATTTTTCACCTGACTACATCCTTTAAAACTCAGGGATCTCCTACTTTAGGAAGCCAATGGGTTAGAAGCATTTCCTCAGTGGCCCCATGATAATACACTCTGAGCATAACCTTGCTATATGTTTGGTTTGTGTTTGGCTCTTCTCTCAGATTTACTAAATACTTACCAAAAGATGATAACCTAGGGTAGTGTTGCTCTAATTTAGACCACCTGCACTGGAATCATTTTTAGGAGCTTGTTAAAAATGCCTTCCTAAACCCTACCTCATAGCTACTGAGTCAGATTCTCAAAGGAGGGCTAATTTGTACAACTAAAATTTGCAAGCCACTGGCCTGTGGCTGGACAAAGCGTAACCCAGAGCTCACCCAGGTCAACTGGGAGCTAGAGCTCAGTCTTTCTGGTTTTCACAAGAAAGCCAATTATAATGTGCACTGGGCAAATTATACTCTAGTGAAGAAGAGACACATCTTTTATCGATCAACTTTCCCGTCTCCTGCTCCCGAACCCTTGCTGTCCTTTTCTCTTTCCTAGCTTCCAAGTCTCCTCCCTCTACTATGTATCTCTTGGGGAGGATATGAGCTTAACCATTTTTTTTCTACAAGATATACCACCAACAGAATTCAAAAATATGTAAGAAACACCAAACAGTACATCATGACTGTCAATGTGTATCTGCATCGATTCAGATCCGTAGGTGTATACTTGCCACCACAATTTGCTTAAGGAAGCAATCAACTAGGAAAGTTATACAGCAAAGGAATAGCCACACACACGCACGTGTGTCTATTTTAAAAATCAAATATGCACTGTCCTTTTAGTTGGCAGAAGCATAAGAGTGCAAACTCTATAATCATTGACTTGCACAATATTCAACAATTCCTTGTTATCTGTGACATCTGAAATACTTCACTTGCTCAAATACTTAGCTATCATGTGCTAAAATCAGACCCTAACCTAATAAAAAAATCTTAAATATTTTAACACCACAAAGGTACATGTCACATTATTAGACCATACCTCCAAGCTGTGACAAATTATAAATGTGTTCAGAGTACATATAGAGATTTCTCTCATCATAGGCCAAATCTAATACAAAAATACATTTGACGCTCATAAATTAGAAGATCCATTTAAGAGCCTCCAAAATAGGAACGAGGAAGGAGTGATGCCAACATAAAAAAGCACACGTAGATCCAAGTTGTTCTGGTTATAGGATTATTTTCTTCATCCACGAGGGGGTAAAGAGCAAGTCACACCAAGCTAAGTTTCTAGGCAGATCACAGTTCACAGGCTGGTTAAGTCATGGCACGCAGACCAGAAAATGTTATGAATTACTCAACTCAAAAATGTTTTCAGATTTCAGTCTAATAGTACTATACCTGCACTGTGGTATTTATTAGAGACTTTACAATCATTACCTACCCCATTAGGTAGGTAGGTAGGTACGCTCCATACTCTACAGCCCTGTTAACACACACAAACCACAGGGGCTATCCGGCACCAAACATAGGAAGAGTTACAAACAGACCTACTCTTTGACTATTAAAGTGGTCAGTGAACTGAATACAAACTTATTTGAATCCTGAAATCTCTCTGGAGAGATACAAATAAATTTTTAAAGCAGTGAGTGCAGGAATAGTTTTTGTTTAATCCTAAAGTACAGGGCTTCATGTAACCTTTGAATACTGAATAATAGTTCAAAAAATATTTGAACTGAAAATTCAAGTGAGTATGACCTGAACCAAGAACTTTGGGTTCAGAATGCCCCACAACCCTAACTGGGAAGTCTGGCTCATATGCTATAGCCAAGGACAAAATGGCTAGGGCCAGATTTCACAAATTCATAATATTCTTCCCTTAAGCCTCAATGAAATTAGGCTTCCAGTATTTTTAAACACCAAATGTTTTCTTCAGAAAGCATCTACTTGGCTTCTGCATCTGCTCATTCACTGAATGTAAGATAGCGATCTTTTCTCTCTGGCTAGTGTCAAAAATCCAGGCAGGATTCACACCAGAAAAAGTCCATGTGAATAAAACACTTTGGAAGTGAGGAATCATGAATATAATTTAGTCAAAGTCCGTGAGGAATAATTATTTCTTTCAGAGAAATTATCATTCCCTCAGAATCAGATGAAGTAGGTTAAAGCTGTCAACATCCTAGTTGCTCCTCCTAGGTTTTATTTTGAAAAGAAATATTAAAGTATTAATATCATATGAGATCATGCTCAAGCTACAAAGATATGTAAATAAATGACACCCCAAGAGGATACTCTCTTTAGCACAGTATAAATTTTAAAAAATCTAACCTTAAGCCTGAGCCAAGTTAGGCACACAATTATGGCAGACATTCTCAAGTGACTGAGGTATTTAGACTCTTCAAAAACAAAGGTGTGCAGCACTAGGCTAAGAGGTGAATTAGATTACAACAAAAATTAGCAATGAAGGATTAAAAATTAACTTTGAACTCCTTTTATAGAATAACCTGAGCTAAGGAGACAATGATTAAATCCTGGCAACAGATAGCCCAGCAAATCCTTCACCAGCAAATATTCTGAGGAAAAAAATACAATCACCTATGTTCATTTAAGAATAACCTTGTCAAGTAATTTGTTAAAAGACCTCCAAAAGTTGGTAACGAGATAATTTATCACAAAGATAAGGAAACTCCTAAAATATAGGTATTATTTAGCCAATAGACCAGGCTTTCTAATAAATTAGCAAAACAGTTCTACTTTTGATTGCAAAACTACCTATTTGCTTCTACTTGGTTGGCTTTCAAAGGAAAAAGTGTTCATTACTTTGAAACATTCTGTAGACGATATGGAGATAAGTATTTTTGATGACACAACTTCAGCTGAAGCGCATTTGTGTTTTAATAAGGAAAACATGAAATTCTGGGTTATTAACACATTTTGTTTTACAAGAATATTCTGTCTGTGGTCAAGAGATCTGTATTCTATTCACTGCTCCACTGATAACAGGAATAATTGATTGGGATCAATTAGCCTTTTTGTGCCTGAGTTTGTCTAGACAGTGGGAATAAGAATATCTGTGCTATGTTATTCACAAGTTAGAGGATAAAATAAAACACTAGAAAGCACTTTTATTTTTTTCAAAACACAATATAAATGCTATGTCATAATACTGTTGATAATTTTACAGGTGCCTCCTAGTGTTATATGCAGTCGGATGTGTGCTTAAGGTAGGCGTTCCTAGAAGATCACAGGTGGAATATTTAGTTTGCTTTTATTTTAAAAATAATAAATCACAAAACTAAAATGTTTGAACAAGGTCACTTAACCCTCTCCCCAGGTGGTTAGTTATAATTACTAGTATCCTCATTATTATTACTTTTTAGCTATACGTTTAAAAGAGGAGATCTTTAATATGTCAGCCTAACTGGGAAAATGTGTCCCTGGCACAGGTGGTTTTCAGAAGAAAAGCCGGTCTTCGGGCTTCCAGAAGAGCTGTGTCCTCTGCTTTCATTTTAAAGTGCAGAACCTGGTAGGGAGGGACAGAACAGGAAGTCCGAGTCTATCACTGAGGAACCAGTTCCCTCAGGGAGGCCAGAGCAGCATGGATGCGGACATGCAATCTGTTTTCAAAGTCGTAGCCAGAGAAATCCTCCTGTAAGACCAAAGAAGGAGATTTATGAACTCTATGAACTGAGCCTTCTGAAACACTGCAACATAAGCCACACGAGTTTGTGCTTCCTGAAGTAAAATCTCTCACACTGCTTCCCATCCACTCAATTTTATTTCCCAAACCTCAAACTTCGGGTTCATTTCTAAAATGTCCAGGAGGATGTCAATGCTGTCTTTGGAAAATTGTCTTCATGTTATTCCTGAAATAGTAGTAGTCTTGAACTGTGCTCAATCTAACCTGCTATTAGAAATTCTTCATTCAAGACTATAGTTATGGGGGCGCCTGGGTGGCTCAGTCGGTTAAGTCGACTTTGGCTCGGGTCATGATCTCACAGTTCGTGAGTTTGAGCCCCACGTCAGGCTCTGTGCTGACAGCTCAGAGCCTGGAGCCTGCTTCAGATTCTATGTCTCCCTCTCCCTGTGCCCCTCCCCTGAAGTGTGTTTTTAAAGCAGGATGGGCGATTTCATTGAGTTTCTTATATTAGTAATTTCACTTAAACATCAAGGGCTCACCAAATCAATTAGTTATTACTTTTCCTTTCCAGAAATATCAATCAGAACAATCATCTCACAAAACTTCTTGAATTCAGACTCGAGTGGACACAACAGAGGGTAAGAAGGGCCCTGGAAAAAGGTAGATACAGTCTTTTTACCTTTGCTTGAAGAAGTAGAGTTCTGCCTCTTGCTACAGTCTATGAATGTAAGAAAAACATAATATCTTTTAATATCTATATTTGGACACACTCAAGCAGAAAATGTTGTAACAGGATAGATTAATTAAAACAATTCACAGTAGACACAGAGGTGAGTCAACTGCTCATTCTAGTTTAGTCACTCAATTTTTCTTTAATGATGCTTGTTAAGTTCACACTAAGGCATTACTAAATAATTGTGCATAACCCTCATACAACAAGAGATTAACAACTTGGAAGAGTTATTATAGCTTAAGATCTTAGGGAGCAACCTAAAACTGATGATCATTACAAAGTTTACTTGACATCAGTAAGTTAGACCTTTGGAATGCATTACTGGTTGAGAACATCAGCTTCACATTTCCAGAAATGGACCAGGCTTGTTATATTTTAAGTACACATTTTAAGGCCATATTAAGAGTAAAACTTTTCCTAAAGAATATGGTGTTAGGGTTTTCTACAAAAAATGACAAAACTTGCCTTTTCTACTTTGGTAAAATTAGAATTTCAAATGACTTACCAATTACAAGCCTATATTTGGCGAGATGGGCTACATATTTAAGGGTCAGTCTTGAATCATATTTCTGTTGATTTGGCTCTAATTTTAGAAGGCCTATTTATTTGAAAGTATAATGAACTTACTAAAAATTAGAATCTCATAAAGCTAGTATCATGTAACTGAGTTTCTAAAAGAAGGTAGCAAGCAAATCCACTCGTTTAAAAACAAAACTTCCGGGGCGCCTGGGTGGCGCAGTCGGTTAAGCGTCCGACTTCAGCCAGGTCACTGATCTCGCGGTCCGGGAGTTCGAGCCCCGTGTCAGGCTCTGGGCTGATGGCTCAGAGCCTGGAGCCTGTTTCCGATTCTGTGTCTCCCTCTCTCTCTCTGCCCCTCCCCCGTTCATGCTCTGTCTCTCTCTGTCCCAAAAATAAACGTTGAAAAAAAAAATTAAAAAAAAAAACAAAACTTCCCCAGTATACTTAAATATGTAACTGTCAAATTTATATGGCATTCTGAAATTTTTAAAGCAATCACCACATCATCCTCATTTATTCTCACCATAATCTCCATTCACTTGGCAAGGCAGGTATTTTTTATCCTGTTTTACATATTAGGAGGAAGATACATGGTTCAGGAACATAACCAGCCTCCTACACTAAGGTGAAGGCAGAGTTAGAATCCGAATGCAAATCCGTGTTCTTCTGAATAGGCCGTACTACTTCATATCCTACCATTCTAAAAAAGGCAATGATTTTCCCCTCGAGTGAATTTTTGTCCAAAAAGGTACATTTATACTGCTCATTCCAGAGAAGAAACTGCCTCAGTAAACATAGTAAAAGAGGATGACTCACTTCTTGGATTTTTCCTGCATGAAATCAAGGAAAACAAAACCAAAAACCCACCATGTTCAATTCACTGACTTTAAACGAAGGATGCTTTGTGCCTGCTCACCTGTGCATTTTTGCTGATGAACGTTACTTAAACTATATGAGGCCTTACCTCCGGTTTGTCTAACAGAAGACAGCCAAGTTCATAGCAAGCATATGGCTGGACGTATAAGTTATTCTGACGACACAACTCATCTTTAACAGCGCGCTGAAAGAACTGAAAGTAATACAAAAGTTACTACAATTAACTCATTTTCCCACCTAAGGTTCATCGCATCTTCAGGAGGCAGAAGGGGGGACTTATCTCTGTATTCTAGATGTTTGTTTTGGCACCCTTATTTCCTCCCATCCTCATCCATATCTACAAGCCCGCTGCATGCTTGCCTCCAGGCTATGCTACCCATCGGTCAGCTCAATTTGTGCTTCTTCTATTTCCAGTTGACAACGTAGCCTCTACTGATCTTAATGCGGAAAACATCATGATCTGCATCTCAAAGTAACATACCAATATTTAAAACAGGAAGCACACAAGCCAAGAATCAGCTCCTGACACGTATCTTGACTGTATCTTGCAGATACTTAAGTATGGGATCTAAAGCAGGCTACTCAGAGCTGTGTAATAACTATCATGACCCTGTGCTGAAAAAGTAATTTAAAATTATAAAATAAAAGTATGTCAACACTCTAGGATTTAAAAGTCAAAGTCCCCTACTACTGTACATGAACTCTTTTAAAGAGTAATCAAAATTACACTGGGCTATACTTCAAAACATCCAACGACACAAAAACTTTAGAAAAATTCCCCCAACTATATTTGAAAATAGTGAATGGTTCTCTTCCATATAGTATGTACACAGAATATCTTAAGCTAACACTTTTCTAGACTTTACCTCCAGGGTTGCTTTGGTAATCTGCAGTTACAGACAGGAAAAGTGAACGCACACTAACATATCTGATCATCTTGGGGATTTATCTAACTATGAGGCTTCATTTTGCTCCTTTAAAACTGTCTGCATCCTTATTTCCTCCTTCTCCAACTGAGACTGTCATCTCTGATAAGTAACTCCTGCCAGAAGAAAAGCCTGTGTATAAAGAAGCAATGTAAGAATCTGAAGTTACACGTTACTAACTAGTATTCTCCACCAGCACCTTCCAGCATCTGAGAGGAGAGGACACGGATCGGTAGAGGCTTAAGCTCACCCTGCGGCGAAAGGTCTGGTTTTGTTGAATGTTTTTCCATTGTCCTTATTCCTAAGCACACATACAGGCTTTCGCAGTCTATGTTCCTTGGCCACAGCATTAACGGTTTACCTGAACAGCATCTTCTGAGTTTCCCAGACATTTGTGTATGGCACCAAGAAGCAAATACTTTAATCCAACAACAGATGAATCATCCACTTCATGGCAAGCTTAAGGAGAAGTGAAAACAGCAGCAAGGATAATAATTCACTTAATTTCTTTTTTTTTTTTTTTTAATTTTTATTTTTGGGACAGAGAGAGACAGAGCATGAACGGGGGAGGGGCAGAGAGAGAGGGAGACACAGAATCGGAAACAGGCTCCAGGCTCTGAGCCATCAGCCCAGAGCCCGACGCGGGGCTCGAACTCACGGAACGCGAGATCGTGACCTGGCTGAAGTCGGACGCTTAACCGACTGCGCCACCCAGGCGCCCCTCACTTAATTTCTTAAACATCATCATGAGTTAAGAATTTCATTGTTCATTGACCTGAATATTCAGTTCACAATCCTGCCCCCTGAAACTCAGAAGGCTCCTTTTCCTCATCCATTAGTGAATACCCTTATTCAAAGAAAGGCAAAAATATCAAACATCTGGGCATCCAGAGGACTCGGAATTATATCATATTGTTAGTAGGAACAAGAAACCAATCTGCAAAGGCTACATACTGCGTGCAGGATTCTAACTATATGACATTCTGGAAAAGGCAAAACTCTGGAGGCGGTAGTTCCCAGAAGTCTGGGGGAGGGAGACGAAGGGAGGAACAGCTGGAAGACAGGGGATTTTTAGGGCAGTGAAATATTCTGCAGGATACTACCTCTAAGTATGGCTACATGTCAGTACGTACTTGTCAAATCACACAGAATGTATGAAACAAAGAATGAACTCTAATGTATGACTAAACCCTAATGATGTGTCAGCATTGGTTCACTGGCTGTAACAAATGTATCCATCTGGGTGGGGGGGGGAGTAGGGGGGTGGGAGGGGTGGCAGTGTGTATAGGGAAGTGAGGGGTGTGGTATGTGGAAACTCTAGTACTTTGTTTAATTTTGCTAAGAACCTAAAACTACTCTATAAAAATACTTCTAAAAAATTCTATCATATTAACTTCATAAGCCATATGGCGGGCACCTTTCCATGTTTGTACTGATGCATTGCACTCATCACTGAGGGGGCATCTGCCGTGACCCCTCCACTTCAAGAAGCTTGCCATCTACCACGCAGGATGGGCACACATGTTGGAGGATGTTACAGGAGTTTTTCCAAGGAAATGAAAAGGGTGGAAAATTGGAAACACAGTGAAGCTAACAGAGGAGGAAAGGAAGTTAACGGTTTCTATGGACCAACAGAGATACTGAGATTTGGCAAGATTTTATAAATAGACACACATACATATGTACACACATATACACACACACCTTTGTTTGTGGCTGGTTTAAGCCTCAATAAAAAGGTGATATTTGAGTAAAGACCTGAAGGAAATGAGTGGAGGAGCCACATGGATGTTCAGAAGCGCATTTGCAGACAGAAAGAAGAGAAAGTGCAAAGGCACTGAAGCCGGCGTGTGCCTGGTGTGTTCAAGAACAGTGAAGTGAGTGTGGCTGGAGCCTGGTGAGCAAGCAGGAGGAGCAGTGAGAGGCAATGGGGTGGACGAGGGGGGAGAGTGGTGGACAGATCACAGAGCCCTGTAGGCCACTGAATGGACTTGGGCATTTACTTTAAATGATATGAAACCACAGAGGGTTCTGAGGCCCAAAATAACATGACTTCATTTAACCGGATCACTCTGGGCACTATGTTGAGGATATACAGAAATATTTTTAAAATGCAGAGGAAGAGGGGCACCTGGGCGGCTAGGTTGGTTAAGTGCCCAACTTTGGCTCAGGTCATGATCTCACAGCTTGTGTTCCAGCCCTGCACTGGGCTCTGTGTTTACAGCTCACAGCCTAGAAGCCTGCCTCAGACTCTGTCTCCCTCTCCTGCCTGTGCTCTCTTTCTCTCTCTGCTCCTCCCCTGCTTGTGTGCTCATTCCCTCTCTCTCACTCCCCCTTGCTCCCCCTCAAAAATAAACATTTAAATGTTTAAAAATAAATGGATAAATAAATAAAATGCTGAGGAAGAATGCAGTGCACAGGGTGGGGGAAGGGCTACAAATGAAACCACAAGATGAGCATTGTAAGAATCCAAGTACATCTGCTGATGAAGGAAGTTACAGATGGGGGGTCTGAGAAGCTGAATACACAAAGCTGGGTCAGCATTTAATTAATGCATTTGATTGCTTTCATCCACTACCAGTTTTTCTCTGGAACTATTACTCTACAGAGATCTTCTCTGTACTCTACATGGCTGAATAGATTTGGATCATTACTGCTTAACACTGGGGAATGATAGAAACTAATTAATCGATCTCAAAACTGCACTAATATTTAACAAAGATATTAAAGAATTATATCATGTTTACTCAAGAGCCTCCCTTTCTCCATGACCACATCATTGCTATTTATTTTGATACCTGCAAAGGGATTCAGAGAATATTTAGTCACATTAAGTGATAATCATTTCTATGCCTGTCAATTACAGCCTATTTTATATGTGCATTTGTGTCTGAATTCTCTCTACACAGTCTCACATTTGTGCATTACAAAGAATAAAATTCTGTATTGTTCCTTAGAGTTAGACATTGCTAGACATTCTAGACTTGCATCAACAACCAGGGATTGTTTATTCTCCATGAACTTTTCCCATAGCTATAATAAAAATGACTTTATGAAGGCTATATTACCATAACCTATGGTCCTGGGTTTTTTTTTTGTTTTTTTTTTAGTATTTATTTTTGAGAGAGAGAGAGGGAGACACAGAATCTGAAGCAGGTTCCAGGCTCTGAGCTGTGAATACAGAGCCCGGTGCAGGGCTCGAACTCATGGACTGTGAGAGCATGACCTGAACCGTAGTGGGACGCTCAACCAACTGAGCCACACGCGTGCCCCCTTATGTTTTTTTAAATAATACATGAATTAAAAATCTAGCCTTCTAATTACACTCCTAGGTATTTACTCAAGAGAAATGAGTGTATGATGTCCACACAAAAGACAAGTACACTTATGATGTATACTTATGTTTGTAGCAGCTTTGCTCATGATGGCTAAAAAAAACCAGGAACAAATCAAACGTCCATTAACAGGAGAAAGGATAAACACACCATGGTACAGATTTAGCCCCACAGTGGAGTGTCGCTCAGCAGGTGTAAGGAACGAACTACCGATACGGGCTACAACATGGATCACTCCCACAGGTGCTATGCTGAACAAAGGAAGCCAAGCCAAGCAATGAAAAGTACACACGGTCTGAACTTCTATGAAGTTCAAGGACAGGCGAAAGTAATCTGTAGAGAGAGAAATCAGAACAGCTGTTGCCTTGGGGTGGGGACTGACCGAGAAGGTGCCCAAGGGAAATTACAGGGGTGGTTAGAAATGTTCTAGATCTTCATTGTGGTGGTGAATGCCAGCATGCATATATTTGTCAAAACTCAATGAAGCAGATACTACCTGTTCATTTTAATAGACGTGAATCAAACTTATATAAAACAAAGGGCTTTTGCTGGGGGGAAAAATGTACGCATCCAGCAATCCCTAGGGCTATAAGAGTCGGCAACACTTTGCAGTCAGTGCGCCTCAGCACACACCGCTAACGATGCGAGCACGTCCACACATTCCCATGCTGCCTACACCTGTCACCTATATGCAACAGAGCGTTCTTCACCACTCCACCATCTAATCCAAGAATGGCAGATCTGTACTCTCTGAATCAGATAACGCTAACGGGAAACCGAAGAAACCGGCCAATGAGCAGAGTTTTTTTATTACCTTGACTCATCCTCTGCAGGTTGGGGAAGGAGCAGTTGGGGAGGGCTTTCCACAGGTATAACACTTCGATGGAGGCCAGTACACACAACGCTCTGGTGGGAGCTACTTTCCGAAACCTCTCTGCCTGCAAGTGTGAGAATGATCACGCTGGGTTTGGGAAAACGAATTCAAATAAAAACATATACTCGAGACATTAAAAAATGCACAGTTCATCTCTGACATCAACAACCCCCTCCAACAAAGCTAACAATGAGAACTTCTCTCTATGTAAAAATTTTTGGCTTTCTAACCTTTAACGTATGATAGATATGCCTTTCATTCGTTATTCAACTCCATCTACTGTTAAGATCCAGGGTGCATTCAGAAAACAGGATGAAAGTGGGTTCATTTCAGTTTAAATCCAAGGAATTTATAAAAGCTGGGTGACCAGTAATAATGAATGGGTTTACGTGGAAGATGTAATTAATACTAGATGCATTTTAGTTATGGCTTTATTGACTTTTTAATTTTTTACTTAGTCCTAGTGGCCTCAGTGGTATTCCACATTATAATCCAGTTTATACTCAAGCTAAGTCACTCAATGTTCATTCATTAGTAACAAACTAAAATAATGGAAAATTCAGGATATGACAAGTTGTCATGTAACCCACAGTGATTCCACTAACTTTTTTTCCTAAAAAGTGTAGAATAAATTAGGGTCTTTGTCCCTGCAGTACTGGGCCTTTCTACTGGTACATTTGATGCATGTTTTTATTTTTAGAAGGTCCAAATGTGATGTGTTCAGTAAATTATTGAGACTCAATAGTCTGTATCTCTTGCCTAGATTCTGCCAATTTCAATGCTTCTAAAACCACCCAACTCCTTAGACAGGTGCTTTCCCTTTCCAGATGTGCTCATTAGCTCTACAGGGTCTGTAATGTGTCTACCCACTCCAAGAAATAACAGCTGTTTTAATCACGTGCAGCAAAACCAGCATTTTCCATTCAAAAGAGAAGTACGCCCATGGGGGTAAATTTTCTCCATGGTGGTAAAGTGCACTGGCAAGTAAGTCGCTGGCTTGGATTAGGATTTCCTAAAACTTGTCCAAGATGGTGTCGGTTAAAAATGCCCGTCACAAACACACACCAGATCAATAGGCTCCAACATACCTTTTTCACTGAGAATTGTTCAATCTGATTGTTTTTCCTTTTGAAGAGCTTCTGAACTTCTTTAAACACTATCTGCGCCCCATCCACGTCACCGGTGGCTCCCTGACAAACTGCAAGAAACCATTGTTGTACTCCCTAAGTATCGGGGAAAATGCCACGGAAAGACACTCAGGCTGATGGTACTTGGAAAACGTTACCGAAGAAAAACACGGGAGCAAGTGTTACATAGAGGCCTACAACATCCTGTTGATTGTCACACTACTGACTCAACAACTACTTCCTTGAGTTCCCAGAGTTTTGTGGGGATGTACAGGAAAACCGTGGTCCTGGTCCTCTCGTTGGGCGCTAGTCTTGGACGTGACAAAATTCCAAGCTATTGGCACAGTGTGGTCTAGCTGAGGCCCACATACTCAGAAAGTGGAATAAAAAGGAATCTAGGAAAGAATGATAAGAAGCCAAGAAGATCATGAAGCTTCATGGTGGATGGAGGGTACCTCTCTGTGCCTGGAAAGAAAGTCATGAAATTAATCTTACACATGTTCATGGGCCACCTACCACCTACAAGCCACCAGCAAGAACATGGAAGAAAACACATGCTTTAACCCTAAAGAAATGTAAATTTCAGCTGGAGAAAGAAGATACACACATAGTCCCATAACTATAATGTATATGTTGAGAAGAGCCTTGAGGGTAGGACAACCAAAGTGCTTTTGGAAAGCCTCAGGAAGAGAAAGGAAACATTTCTTTCTGGAGTGATCAGGAGCTAGGAGTCAGTCTGAGAGCCTTGGAGGATGGTAAGATTTTGGTAGCCTGCACACAATCTTCATCCTACCCCAAGCCCCAGGCAAAGACTTAATCATACTTGCTTCGCTTTGTATCTCTGAAGGTGAAACTTTACCAACTTTACCAACCACTCTTCTCAACTACAATGGCACTGAATTCATTTATATCAATTTTTTTTCTTAGATGTTGTCTTTGGCACATATTTTTCAATCCCCAGCTGGAATGTCCATTGATTTCCTAATTCCTCCTTTATTCAAGCGCTCCTAAAACTAGGTGGTCCTCTATTCACATTTTGGGGTGTGGTCAAGCAGAGCACCGGGCCATGGCATGTCATAGGATGACACCTGTCAGCAGGGCCGAAGAAGCAAAGGCACCAAGACTCAGAGAAGGCTGTGGATGTCAAGGTGATGGGAGAAGCAGAAGATTTTCTGCTGGGAGTATGAGGGATTAAGCTGAATGTTCAAGGGAGGGACAACCACATTCCGTTAGGAAAGCGGCCCTGGTCAAAAGGACAGGGTCTGAATTCATCCAAAATGACCTCATCTCCTGCAGCTTTGGCATCTCAAAAACAGAAGGAAATGCAGTGATTGTTTTGTATACCAACCCCATCAGGCTATAGATCAGAGAATGTAAAGGTCCAAGAAAGTTAAAAGACTTGCCTAAGGTCACCCAGTAAGCAAATGAAAAAGAGTAATGTCTGCTGCATCTAGTCTGACATCCTTCTCCGACAATCTGTAACTTTCTTAGTCACATAGTTTAAAAAAGGGACAGATGGTGGTGATGGCTGCATAACAGTATACATGCACACTATGCCACTGAACTCAAAAATGGTGAAAATGGTAGATTTTACATCATGTGGATTTTATGACAATTGAACAGTACAGAAAACTCAGTCCCTGGTGGCAGTGTTTCTGGTCCCTGAACACCCATCCTCTCTAGCTCTGCCGGTCGACATGTACCTGTCCTTCAGGGCCAATTCAAATGGCAGCTCCTGCGAGATGGCAGATAGCTTGACAGAAGTGATCGTCCCCTTCCTGTGTATGCTTTGTAGTGGAGCTCCTGACACCTCTTACCATCTGCACAAAATCCCCTTGCAAAGGCAGAGACTAGTCTTTCATGCTTTATCAGCTCCCACAAACTGGTATAGTCCTGGGATTTCCAGTATTTGGAGAAAAAATACTCCTCTATACAGTCCTGTTGCACATTTATTTGTGTTCCATGATCAACAAAGATTAAAAAAGAAACAGCTGCCCACGAGTGACTATGTGACTCAATAACATGTTAACGACTGATGGCTGTGCTGTCGTGAAGACCTCTGCTTTTCAGTTCATGCATTCAATACGCTGGACACACGGAGGCTACTCAGGAAATAGCTGGCACTTTCATCAGAGATGCCTGTGGGTTCTATAAAACAACTTTTTTTTTTTGTTATGTTTATTTTAGTTTTGACAGAAAGACAGAGCATGAGCGGGGATGGGCAGAGAGAGAGAGAGAGAGAGAGAGAGAGAGAGGGAGACACAGAATCTGAAGCAGGCTCCAGGCTCTGAACTGTCAGCACAGAGCCTGATGCGGGGCTTGAACCCACAGACCGCGAGATCATGACCTGAGCTGAAGTCGGATGCTCAACTGACTGAGCCACCGAGGCGCCCCTGTAAAACAACTCTTAAGGCATGAGACAAAGTATATTCACCACTATACTGAAAATAATCCTATTCAAACATAAGCTACAGAGCCATACAAAAATGGATGCCCTAGGGGGACTGTAGTCAAGAGTGTAGGTATAAAGAGCTTTCATGTTGACTCATAATGAACCGCAGTTTTACAACATCCAAGATATGCACACTTGCCACTGTTAATTCTCTTAAATAGATCAGTTAGGGGACTGGAATGACAGGAAATGCTTCATTAAACGCAAATATTCAGGGAAATAAGGAGAGATTTAAAATTATGTTTGAATTTTAAAGAATCACTTATATGGCCGTGTAAGGAGAGTTTATCAGAAGCAGAAAACGTACAGCCACTTGGTACTTTAATTTCCACCTCTGCAAGTGTACATCATGATGGCATGACGGCACTTTATGCATCTCAGGGCACAGACATCCCTTTCTCCACCAGGTGGCAGCATATCTTTATCTCCTGAGAGGAGGCCAAAACATGCACTCTTACTCGTATCAGCAATGACAAGCGGTCTCTGCTAAATGATATGCAGTGTTCAAATACCTCATGTTCTACAAAATCACACTGTAAATTTAAGAAGGTTTTAATAAGTAAAACAAGGTTGGAGCAGACTACTCAAATGCAACTTTGTAACCAGGGCACTAATGATCCAAACAAAAATATTAACACAATTTAAAAGACATGTTAAATTCCTTAAAAAATATTTAAATTCTTAAAAACTAAAAACCATATTGTAGAAAGTAAAGGATAAGAGTTAAGGGTAGGCTGAGGCTGCTTAGGGCAAAATACACAGAAACCCTCACAATAAGCGTTTTCAAAACAGAGCCTATGACCAAACCAGCCGAGAGGGGAAGCTGGTGTGCAGGACTGAGTCAGTCACCGCTGGGTGACTAGGTAGCACAGAACATTAACATGCTACGGAAAAGGAAGGAGAGGAAGGAGAACCCCACATCTTCTTGACGTCTCCCTCCCATCCGCCAATGTGTGTGGTGAACTCACCACAGAAATAAGCTACTCACCTGCAGTTAAATAGGCGTAATAGCACTGGGACCACCTGGACTCATTTTTCAGCCTCTCAAAGGAATCAAATGCATCCTTGAAATTCAGCTCTATCATGCTGCACCAACCTATGAAAGAAGTATTTTTAGTATGGGACCCTAAAGTCATGATTCATATCCTGTCTTTAAGCTAGGAATCTGATACAGCTGACCATCTTTGTCTCAGTGCCACATGCACGCTACCTGAAAACCTGAATACTTTTTTTTTCTCTTAAGTATTTTCAATGTGACATTTTGCATAAGGCAAGACAGCACTTCTGGTTTCACAACCCATTAAGCAGTATGGAAGCAGTACACAGAATGACATAAAGATTTCCATGAAAACACTCTAATTTGTATCCTATCCTCCAATTTGGGTGGTGAGATTAATCTAAGCACAGGAGTACTTCTCCAAGAGCAGGCACAGACACAAAAAAAGAAGGAATACTGTTAGATTATATACATAGTGAGGATCTCAAAAAGTCTTCAAGCACCCGGGTGCTCCTTAATGATTATTAATTCTCGAACCCTTGTGAGAAGTAGAGACAACAAGCCAGTTAGAGATTAAGTACTTACCCCCCACCTCCCTCTGCAGGTTGGCAGCAGAGCTGAGAAAGAACCCCCTCTTTCCGAGATCAAAGCACCAGGAGACAGGCATTCTGGGAAGAAGTGGCAGCCACAAAAATGCAGGGAATTCTACCCTCATTTTTACAACAGTACCTGCCATTGCCACGTCCCCGTGTGCCTGGGCACCTGGCGTACTTCTGATTCTACTAGGGGCTTGCTAAGGTGGCGGACGGTGTTCTCATTTTACCAAGGAGAAAATCTAAGGCACAGAGAGGTGGGTGGGACTTGCTCAAGGCCACAGAGCTTATTAGAGGGAACTGCCGAGGACTCAAGGCCACTGCTCTCTGCTATCTACCTCCTGCTATATCTGCTTCCTCGTGAAGTACTTGTGCCATCTTGGACCTGCCTTTTTAGTACAGGGATGAGAGAGATCCACACTTCCAGAAAATCCAGTGTCAATTCTATGGGATAGGAGAAGCAGACACAGGACAGTAAAAACCGGGGCTGACAATGTCCATCCTGTAAGATGGGAATTAAGTGCAAAATATGTAGAGGTTCCAATGAATCTGAATCAGAAGCTGAGTTACAACTGGGCTTCTTTTTCTTGGGTTAACCTTGCTAATAGGCCTCAGGGTTAGGCTTTGATGATTTCCAAGCTTCCTTCAGCTCTAACCCTCCACACTGCCACAGACCTGAAAATGCTGCACCAAAAAAAGAGGCCATCATAATCATTGTGCAATACATGCACATATCAAATCGTTAGGCCATACAACTTGAACTAATACAGTATATGTCGATTATATCTCAGTAAAAGTGGAAGAAAAAAAAGACAGCAGTATCTTAAGAACGAAAAAAAGGCCACCAAATCTAGGCCTTAATTCAAGTTCTTTGAAATACATTCCATCCTGCATTATGGCTACTATCCAGCGCTCCAGCAGGATTTATATCATATACAAATATTTTTTCCACTGGATTATACCTCATCTCTTTTCCCTAACCCATAACAGGTATTTAAAACACAATATTGTTTTACTAGGAAGTGCCCAGTCTTTTAGTTTGTACTTCTCTTTAAAAAGATTTAGAGGCGCCTGGGTGGCTCAGACAGTTGAGCGTCTGACTTCAGCTCATGTCATGATCTCACAGCTCATGGGTTCGAGCCCCACGTCAGGCTCTGTGCTGATAGCCCAGAGCCTGGAGCCTGCTTCAGATTCTGTGTCTCCCCCTCTCTCTGCCCCTCCCCCACTTGTGTTCTGTCTCTGTCTCTCTCAAAAATAAATAAACATTAAAAAAAATTTTTTTTAAATATTTAAAGTTATTCAGGAAAACAACTATGTCCACAGCGTATCAACAAGTGGCAAGCATCCCAGGGTCCCAACCTGACAGGTGTCAAATGCCTCCTGTGCACCCCCCATTTGTCCTTTCCTCTCTGCAGGGGGCCTTAGAGTTCCAGTCTTCCTGTTGATTCCATCACTACCTCATCATTTCTCCTCACCCTGGCCCCCTCATTCCCTTTCTAGGTGCTGTATGATGTGACCTTGCCCTACTGGGCTGAAACCCTAACAAATATGAAGCCCTTATTACAACGTGTCATTGTTTCAAACCCAAACTTGTATGGATTCTCCTCCACATGACAGAGCACCTGCTACAAAAAAGGACTGTGGAATTACTAGGGTAAACAGGACAGAATTTAGTGCAGTCAGCAAAAAACTGAGTAACAGCTTTGGGGAAGAGGGAGAAAGCTGTAAGCAAGTAAGTATTTCCATGTCCGTTTATAAATGTGTCTGCAGGAGGGAGGCGAGCAGAAGGAAGGAAGCTAATACGTGTGGAGGGTGTTCTGAGGACCAGGGGCCCCACCTGACACTCGTTCCTACTGCATCTAAATCTCACAACTGCTGAGGGCAGGCACCTGAACACTCATGACAATCATGAGGCTTAAACTGTTTGTCCCAGGTCTTTGAGCTAGTCGGCAGAAGGGCTGGGATTGGGGTCAATGTGCCCAACTCTCTCCCACGCTGTATTTTTTCTTTTCAGGTAAACACCGCTGTGAGGGAGGAAAACTTAGTTTTGGATTCCAATGTACAGTCCGGTAAGGTTATTTACAAATGAGTTTTAGTCAATTCTTTTCACAGGACCTATTATCCTAAATCAAACGTTCTAAAGAGTAAACGAACGCAGTAATGATAATCACGGAGATAAGTTATCACCCCTTGTGCTCTGATGACAAAGTCTTACCATAAATGGCAGCAAGCATTTTACAGAAGATACAAACTGAACAGCATTAATAATGCAAACGTGCACAAGAATGAAGACTTGTGACAGGAAGCTAGACATCCAGCCGGACACAAGCGGAATGCATGAATGCCAGGTCGTGACAAGAAGCTGGACAGACATTTCATATTTACCGATTTCATACAGACAGACATGCTGGATCTCTCTCTGATCTATCGCAAGTTCCAAAGCAGTATGGAAAGAAGTCAAGGCACTGTTGATTTGACACTGAGGAAAGAATGAAAACAGAGTTACTGGCTAAGATCTGCTATGAACATTACAATCCTTTTCATTTCAATACGTCTTCTTCCTTAACAGTCATTTTAAACAGATTAAACAACAATTTAGAGATTTCTGGGGGCGCCTGGGTGACTCCGTCGGTTAAGCATCCAACTTCGGCTCTGGTCCTGATCTCACAGTTGGAGGGCTCGAGTCCCGCATCGGCCTCTCTGTGCTGACAGCTTGGAGCCTGGAGCCTGCTTCAGATTCTGTCTCCCTCTCTCTCTGCCTCTCCCTACTCATTCTCTCCTTTTCCCCCCGCCCTCAAAAACAAACATTAAAAAAAAAAATTTAAGATTTCTGGAACATTCCAATTTGTCTCAGTTGTGAGATGAACCTGGCTAGGCACAAAACACTTCTTTTGCTCTGGCGGGAGATGCCCTCACTGAGGGCTTGCTCACGCCTTCTCCTACAGCATACTTTTCAGACCATACAAAGGACTTGCTCTACTGTAACTGCTAATCCAACCCCTGGTTACCAGAGGGGTTCTGCAAGGACAGGGTCTAGATTTCACCCTCCTGTGTATACAACAGGCATATGTTAGAGATAACTACAGGTTTGGTTTCACGCCCCCAGTACTGCAAATACTGCAACAATGCAGGTCAGAGGAATTTTCCGGTTTCCCAGTGCATACAAAAGTCACGTTCCTACTATACTGTTGTTTAAGTGTGCAATAGCATGATGCCCAAAAAACAGCGCACATATCTTAATTAAAAAATACTTTATTGCTAAAAAATGCTGGCTATCACCTGAGCTTTCGGCAAGTTGTAATCACAGATCACCATTAACAATAACAAAAAACTTCAAAATATTGCCAGGATTACCCAAATGTGACAGAGACATGAAGTGAGCAGATGTTGCTGGAAAAATGGCGCCAACAGACTTCACGGAGGGTTGCCACAAACCTTCAATTCGTAACAAACCCCAGATCTGCAAAGCGCAATAAAGGACAACAAAAGGGAGTGTGTCTGGCCCCGCCCCAGGCCAGAAAGACCCCCATCGGTATTGAGTGACTGCGTGAAGCCTCCTTTAATCCTGCCCTCAGCTCGCTCTCCCTTCTGTGACCCACTCCGACTGCCATACAGTCCTAGGTCAATTCTGTACCTAAAATGCTGTCTGATTGCTCCCGGTCATCATCTCTCCTCTACCAACACTCACTTCTGACTTTTGCATTCATCTAGTACTGTCCAGAGTCCAGCAGACTCTCCCAGGACTGTTCTCACTCCTGATTAAATACATTTAGTGTTTCTTTCCACTAAAGAGCCCTTTCAAAGTCTGCCAACCTCATACCAGAGCACCTGATAAAAGCACCTAAAAAGCATCAACAGCATAAAAGAGTTCAAGTCAATCCTAAATACAGCAAAGACAGGTGTTAACAAATACAAATCCTAAATGCCCTACAAATTTGGCACAGCCCTGCTCTCAGGGGCCTTCCCTGCCCCTGCAGGTGTCATTCCATGCCCGCTGCCCCACACTCAGCCCTCCCTGGGGTCCCCTTTGTGTCTGTTCTGCTGATCCCTGGCCACCAACTTTTCGGGGTCCCTACTGCCTCTTCTCCCCACAGACAGCCAGGCAGGGGCAGGGAGGATCACAAATGAGAGGCTGCAGCATTTCGCATATCTTGGCTCCTTTAGTGATGCACGGTCACTGCGGGAGGCCTCTTGGACACCCGCATGCCACACAGATGAGTCAGGGAGATCCTCAGGACAGCCAGTGACTCAGGAACATCGTAAGCCAAATGACTCATGGACCAAGGCCTCGGCTGAATCAATAACTATTCGCATCCCATAGTAACACTTCACTGGGCCAGGACTGTTCGGACTGTGGTGTTCAATCCCTTAGCACCATCTACGGAGGCGAAGAGAGGACACACATCCCCGTGCCAGTGACTCCTGTTCTCGAGGAGGTTAACATCTAGTTGGAGGTAACCTCTTAGGAATGTGAGACAGGCCCAACCCTGTCAGACATTCACACTGGATGTAAGCACATAGCCACCAAGGTCCCAAAGAGGCAAAATAATAATAATTATTTCCAAAAATTTTTTAAATCTTGTATGCAGTGTGCATGTGTGTTCGTGCACAGGACACTCATCACACCGCCCCTTTCCCCTTTCTGGATCAACACTTCTTTCCACGCATCACACACACACTCAATTTAGCCCGTTTGCACAAAACCGCAGTGCTAGCAATTGTGCTTTGCAGGCATCTCCTCAGTTTGCTCAATTCCTGACCCTCAATGGTCCCACACAAAATACTTCTGGATGAGCCACTGCCACCAAGCCGTCTCCAGCTGCATGACAATGCAATGCCACACTGCCCTTCAGAAGACCAAAAACTACTTGTGAACACTAATTACCGGGCAACTACTAAGTGCCTAGGATGGTACTGGCTTGAGGTACAAATCACAGCAAAGCTTTAAATGCAAGTGTAGGGGAGACAAAAAGAAAAAAAAAACCCATCTGAATGAACATTGTTTCTCTTAACCCTTTCAAAAATCTGAGATCGCCATGTATTCGGTTCCATTTTCAGATGGAGAAACGAAGGTTCCAAGAGGTGGAGTAGTTCGATCAAGGTCAACAAGCTAGTATTCGCTCTGCTGTGCCTGCCTCCAGAGTGAGCTTTCCTCAGGCAGGGCACATCCAGGCCCCATTACATTAAAGGCCTTGAGATGGGGAGATTATCCTGGAGTATCGGGGTGGGCCTAAATGCAATCACAAGTGAGGGAAGCAGAGGGGAGGCGGCGACGTAATCACATCATCACAAAGGCACAGACTGGAGGCACAGCCACAAGCCCAAGAACCATCAGAGCTCACAAAAGGCAAGAAATGGACGGTCTTCTGGGTCTCCAGAGGGAGGGCAGCCCTGATCACTTTGATTTCAGCCAGTGAAACAGAGTCTGGACTTTGGACCTCCAGAGCTGTGTGAGAATAATGTCTGCTGTTTTAAGCCACCAAGCTTGTTACATGGCCTTAGAAAGTGAGTACAGGGTCTTACTTTCAAAATTAAAGTGTGAAGAAAGTACCACTGATCCTTCCGTTTGTTAGAAGCGCTCTGACAGAACACGAGACCACTATGGAGCTTAGCGATACTATTCCAAGAATAAGCATAACTACAAAATTAATTCTAGTTCCGGCCTGAGTACTCATTAAGGAATTGCAATGAACAGACATTAAAATGGTGAAAACAGATTTCCCCTTTTTCACCAAAATAATTTAAAATAAAAATAATCCAATAGGGGTTTTCAGGATTATAAATTCTAATATTCACAACAGAGCAGAGAAAGGAGAATTATCCTCAATTTGATACTTGATTCACAGCCTAATTTTTTGAGGAAAGACACATACGCTGGGCTCAAGAGAATACAGAAAACGGGCTAGCGTGAAATAGCCGTGAAGCCCAGAATCGGAGGTCAAGTACCACCTAGGCTTTTGTCTGGTGAATTACACACGGACACTGTATCACAAAAACTGCCTGAAAGTCTTCATTTCTTCACTGGTAAAATGAGGAAATAATGTTGGCAAGCATTATCTGCAAAAGCATGAGTCTTTGCCAAATTAAATGGAGCATACTTGCTGCCAAACTAAATTCAGTACAATGTGTAAGTACTGCTTTGTTACTACAGAGACACAGCGCGTTCTTCCAGCCATTCAGGACTTCTTTCTGGATGGCTGTACTCCTAGGCAGTTTATGATACTTGCGGCGACTGTCAAAGGGCTTTGTTCCTCCATCATATTCTGCGAGTGAATGCTGCCGGTATGGAGGAAAACTCTGGATGTTTGCAGGATGATTTTGCATATGTCACATTATTATACTCATGGATCCTCATGATTGTTTTAGCTTTTTCTCTTGGATCTGGGGAGATATTCAAATCATTTGCAAATGACAGTGTTGTCTCTTCCTCTACACGAGACTTAATTGGAGAGAACCACCAGTTAAGATGCTATTAGCAAGCACAGCACGCATCGCTTTATTCCCGTCTTTAATGAGGATGTTCTAACTTGCAACATTAAATATAGCTTGAGGCACGTTTTTAGTAGATGCCATCTTTACCAAATAAAGAAAAACCCTTTCTATTTCTAATTTGCTAATAGTTTCTTGGTTTTTGTTTTTGTTTGTTTTTTTTTTAAGTGGATTTCATTAAATGCTATTTGGGCCTCTACTGATGGGACTGTGCGGTTTTATCAATTACCTCCTTAATGCAGGTCATAACAGGAACACATTTCCTGAGGTTGAACGACGCTGGCTTTTCTGAAATAAGCCCTACTAAGGTCAGAATACAGCATATCAAAAATACATTGCTGGATCTAACTTACTAATATTTATTTAGAGCTTCTATGTTCAGAATGAAGTTGACCTATAGGTTTTTGTTCAGTGCTCTCCTCTAGGAGTTTTGGTATCAGGATCATACCAGAACTAGCAGACTTGTAGAAAATATTTTCATATTTTCTATGCTCTGGAACTATAAATAACTAGTTCACTACAAAGCCACACCTTTCAATTGAATAATTCATTTAAAATGTTTAAAATACCATAACTTGAATTTTTTTCCTTTAATGGGGACACGACATAACAGAGAATATTAAAATTTAGTCAATAGTACCAGATTTCAGCGCCAACTTCACAAACAACACAGTTTTGGGCCTTGAGAAAAAAATTATAATTTTCAGGAGATCTTGAAATAAATGAATTAACGCACACACAATGCTCTTGGGGAAGGGTACATTGCCTTTAAAAACAGGTGTATGTCATGGGGCACCTGGATGGCTCAGTCGGTTTAGCAGCCGACTTCAGCTCAGGTCATGATCTCACGGTTCGTGAGTTTGAGCCCCACATCGGGCTCTGTGCTAACAGCTCAGAGCCTGGAGCCTGCTTTGGATTCTGTGTCTCCCTCGCTCTCTGCCCTTCCCCTGCTCACGCACTCTCTCTCAAAAATAATAAACTTTAAAAAAT